TGCGCACGTGGATTGGAAGCACAGAATCGCAAGAGATTTCCCACTTCTTCATTGGAGGGGATGGAGGCAGCGCAGGGGGCCAAGGAGACGTCTCTGTGACTGTGAGGAACGTCATGCTGTACAACCGCCCGTTGACTTCTTCTGGCCCCGATGCCGAAGTGGAAAAAGATGTTGCGTCACCAGCAGAAGCTGTTTCTCGTGCCAAAACAGGGGACGAAATAAAAACGGAGGGGAAGCCTGCCACCACACAGCAAGTGCCGACGGCCCCGGGGTCCCATGCCGTTGGAGAAGCAGCGGGCAATGCCGGCACTGTGCGTGGGAGCGGACTGCTGCCGCTGCTCCTTCTGTTGGGACTGTGGGTGTTTGCGGCTCTGTGAGGAGTGGCTGGCTGCCGCGTGGAACACTTGCGACCTCCCGAGCACAGAAGTACTACTCCCATGGGAACAAATTTTCCTCATAAAATCTTTTTTTTTGCTTATTTTAAATTTATTTTCCTGTTTTCTACTTTCTTTTTTTTTTCTGTTCGTTTCTTTTTTTTTTTTTTCTCATCCCCCATCCTTTCATTTTTTTGCTTTTGGGGCAATCACTATGGACGTTTCTCTTTTCTTTTCTACTCTTCCCTCTTTAATTGTTTGTTGCTGCACTCTTCCTGTGAGGGGTGCCGTGTGTTTCCCGCCCAACCGCTCCACTCGCACACCCACCGACACGCTCGTGACGACGGCCCTGTGCGCCTCGCCTGCTGCACGCATGAGGAGGGGCCGCGACGAACGGCGCGCTGAGGGAGCCGTGACGTGTGGGCGTGCGACGAGGGCCTGTGGGGCGGAGCACACATTTCTTCCCTCTTGTTTTGTTTTCTTGCGGCCAGGGCTGGCAGACACCCGCAGCGCCAAACACAAAGCCACACCCTGCCGCCGTGTTTTTAAGATTTTTGCTTTTCGTGTGCATTTCTCGCGCCGGCAGAGCCTTCGGGGCCGGCCTCGTGAGCATTTCTTTTCCCCTCCTGATTTTTTTTTTTTTTGCTGCGCTCACTCTCCCGATGGAGTGACGCGACTGCCGTCGTGTCTGCGTGCTTCTCTCAGCCCCCACACACACGAGTGACTGTGCTCTGCGGGCCGCACTCACGCGCCGATGGGAGGGCTGAGGGGAGCAGCAACACGCAGATGACCCCATGAAATATAAACGATGTGCGGACACACGGAGGGTCGGACGGTTGAAAGACATTTAAATATCTTTTAATTTTATTTTTGGACAAAATGTACGCAGACAATTCCTGGAGCAACATGGTGGTTGGGTGCTTTTTTGTGTTTTTTCTTTTTCTTTTTTTATTATTTGGGTGTGGCCGTAACAGAGGACGACTTTTTTTCATTTTCTTTTTTTTCAAAGTGTGAGGTGTGGAAGGGTGAAGATGATTTTTTATTTATTTATTTTTATTTAATTTTCTAATGAATTGCCGCTGCTTGGGCTGCAGTGCAATATCGTGAGTCTGAGTAGTCTTTTTCTCTTTATTTCTGCCATGCACCTCTGCTGTACATTTTTGTTTGTGCGTCTCTCCACATACTCCGCTCTTCTCTCTTTTTTTTAATTCTTTGCTCTGTTTTTCTGCAGGCACACACACAAGATGCACATTGCGGTGGATTTGAATGCTTTTTTTGTAGCGTGTGCTGGCGGTTGCGTGTGGCGGCTGTTGTCTTCCTCCGTGGCCATGATGATGAGGAGGAGGGAGAGGGTGTGCGCAGCCCGAGTCTCCTTTCCTGCGGGTGTGATGCACCGCGTGTGACTAGTGTGGTGGGTGCGGGCTGTGGCCATTTCCTTGGGGCTGCAGGAATGATCTGGGGGAGATGGTGGTGGATGTCTTCTCCTCCTGCATGGTGGGTGGCTGCTGGCGTTGTGTGCCTTCCTTGCGTGGATGCTGTCTCGTGGTGTGTGAACTGTGCGGCTGGACCTGCTGCCCTTTCCTCATTTTGTCTGCTCTCTCGCGCTGCGTCCGCGATGCTCCGTTCCTCTCCCTCCTGTTCCATTCCTTTTCCTTCTGCCTCACCGATCAGCTCACTGACTCCAGCGACTCCACGACGCGTGACGATGGTGCGGTGTGCGCCGTGTTGGTCCTTGCGGTTGTGGCTGTTGTGGTGGGTGCTCACTCCGTGTGCGTGACGGCTGCTGGGAGTCCTGGAGATGTATCTGGTGATGCGGATGCGGTGGTTGTGCCGGTGGATGTGTCGTGTGCTCCGAGTGACGGCAGCCTGAGCTATCGCGTGCGTGTGTGGGCGTGGAGGAAGTGTTCCGCTGCCGGTGCTGAGGCTCAGCATGAGAATTACACTTTCAGTGGCTTTGATGTGCGCATGCATGGCAGGGATGGTGAGCTGGGTGCTGTGTGTCATGTGGTCAATGCGGTGCACACATGTAGCAGCTGTGCTGTCAGCTGTGCAACGGAAGAGGAAGAGGCCACCGTTGCCTTCACGATGAATGTGACGACGCATAAATACGCCGGCCCCTATGAATTGTGGTGGCGCCAATTTTCCCCGATGGAACCATCCATCCGCCTGCACGGAGCGGCGATGCTGACCGGACGGGCATCTGTCAGTTGCCGCCACCCCGTGAAGGGAAGGATGACACAAAATCTGGTGGGACAACTGCGCCGCAAGTCAGTGCCGAGCCGTCACGTCAACACGAGGATCGGCGACGGTCTGCGGCGGCTGACGGACCCAACACCGTCGATCTGAGTCCCGCATCCAACACGGCGACCAACACGTCCGAGACGAGGCCTGAGTTTGCCACCAATCCGAATGAAATGATGGTCCCGAATGCATCCAAGAAGAGGCCTTCCTTTGCCAACGGTCCGAGAATATTATTGGCGTCGAATGCATCCGGGATCATGTCTGTCACTTATGGCGGCAGGGAACACGTTGCTGCGGATAACACGGACGAGGTGAATGAGCGCAGTGCCACTGGACACAAGAATCTCGTTTTAGAAAGTATCGTCGCAGGCAGTGGATTTGTTGCTGAGGGTGATGCGGACGGATTGACTCAACGCAATGCCTCTGGACACGATAACAGACCTCAATTACGAGAATTCACCGCGCAGTATTCCGGGAGCGGCGGGAGTCCACACGACTGCTTTGCCCTGCGCGACTTCGCGAAATTGATACTGCGAGAGTTAACTGTTGGCAGCACTGTGCGTGTGTGTGTGTGTTGGGTGTTGCTGCTTCTTCTGGGGTTGTGTGGAGTTGTGGCAGTCTTGTGAGCCGAAGAGTGTGGAATTGAGACTCCTCGCAGAGAACATGTGCCGCGTTGCATGCGTGTTTTCTTTTATTATTTATATTTTACTGTTGGTTTTGTTGTTTTCCTGGAATGATGAAGATCTTTTTGTTTCTTTGCGTAATGATCGGTTGCTGCACACTGTCATGAGGGACGTGTTTCCCCTCTTGTTTGCTTTTTGTTGCCCACACGCGGTGCCGGCCTCATTGCTGTGCGTCCCACGGACTGCACGAAGGGAGGAGTGGAGGAGCAGGCCGGATGTCGCGGTGAAGTGTGAAGAGTGTTTTGTGGGCTCACGGAAGTGCACAATCTTTTTTAATTTTATTCAGTGCGGGCAATATGTATACACAGAAACACATGCTCTTATTTTGCCGCTTGGAGCATAAATTAAAACACCGGCCGAATGAATTTTCTTTTTTTTTTTTTTTTTGAGTCCTGCCGGACGCTCAACTCTGTTTTTCCCTGCTCAGCTTCTGGCTTGCGGGGAGGTGTGCGAGTTCTGCAATTGTACTGATTCCAGCTGCCTCATTTTATTGTGCGTTGCTTGGGTGCTGCCACTTGTTGCTGTGGCGTGGCTGTGTGACTTGTCTCTCCTTTTTGCTTTCCTTCTCTGTTGACGTGGTGTTAGTTTGTGCTGAAGGCCACACGCAAGTGACAGGAGTGGTGGCGATGATGACCGGCCGTGTGCTGCTGGTGTGTGCCCCCTGCGTGCTGTGGTGACGATAGCGGTACGTGTGAGTATTAGCTCTTGCGGTGGCGCGCTCAGCTGCGGAAGGGATGCGCGGAGGAGGTCGGCAGGAGGACAGGAGGCGGGGCGAATGCGTCCGCCGTTGGGGAATGCCTCCGTCAAGGGGTGGACGGTGTGCGTGCCGTTGTGGATGGGCGTCGTCGTTGGAGGCGTCAACACTCTGCCGTGGCTGCTGCTGCTGATGGTGGTGGTTCTGGTAATGATGAGGATCATCGCGAAGAGAACGACGACAAATTGAAGGGATTGTCTTTTTCAGGCCACACGTTGCAAGCAGAAAAGAAGAATCCAGCAGGAGGACGGGAAGAATTTGCAAAAGTGCCGGGAGGGGAAAATAATTTGAAAGCAGACAAGAGTGAACCAAATTTCGAAAAAGACAAGGCGACCTCAGTCGTCAACCCCGCCAATCCAACTGGAATTCAAGAGTTGGCAGACTTGCCATTGACTGTTGCGGGTGGCAGTCAAAATCCAAAACACGCTGAGCATGGACTTTTCAACGCCAATTCAAGGCTTGTGGGCGGCGTGTCAAAAGACGGCCAAACAGAAGGTGAAAATGGCAGGGGAAATCAACCACCGCCACCGCCACCACCAAAAGAAGGCACAGAAGCGGGGCTATCAAAGCCTTTAGGATTAACTGAGAAACGGACACCAATTCCAGTGGAAGAAAACTTAAGGCCGCGAGACGGAAGTCACTCACACAAAAGGAGATGCTCCAAAAGAAAGATTATTCAGAGCACGAAGAAGGAGAAACAATTTCCTCGGGTACACGGCGGAGTGCATCCAAAGAAATTCCAGAAGCTACAACTCCATTATCCGCCTCCAAATCTGGCAGCGGTATTGCCGGAAGCACGGTGGAGAAGGGTGGTGTTAACAATCCTCAACCTCCTGCCGCCTCAGTAACACAACATGATTCCGCGGGATATACTGGCCCCGCTGCTCCGCCAGCCAGCACCAGTGAATTGCAAGCAGAAGAAATACCCAACGCTGGTATAATTGCCACGACAAATGATGACGACAGCGACAGCAGCCCTGCAGCTTCTACTGCTGAAAGGCCTACCGCTGGCACAAGAAGCACCCAAGCCTCTGGTGATGCGAGTGACCTTGAACAGTCTAATAACGACGACGTCAATGATGACGTGGCACACAAGGATAAGGCCGCAGAATTCGAAACCGCTTCAGGAAACAGGGACACTCAGGCAGATAATAATGAGATATACACAACAGTACCAGAAAACGCCACCAATAAAACGAGCAATACAGAGATCACAGCTGACGGTGACAGCAGCACCGCGGTCTCCCGCACCACCTCCCCTCTTTTGCTTTTACTTGTTGTTGTGTGTGCGGCTGCTGCTGCGGTGGTGGCCGCGTGAGAGTGAGTGTGAGAGAGCCACGCACCGCCCGCACACACACTCTTCCTTCTCTCTGTGTGTGTGTCCCCTTGCATGGACTCTCGCCCTCACCTCACCCCACGAGGCACACACAATAATGTGCCCATTGTATATATGCATGCACACCCATGCAGGCCCGTTGGTGCTCTCTTTTGCACGACACGCACCGCTGCCGTCCTGCCTGGCTGCATGGACGGAGCACCGTAACTGTTTCTGTTTTGTTTTTATTGCATTGAGTGGGCGACCTCTCTCTCTCTCCCTCTGTGTGTGTGTTTTGCTTTACGGGAGTAATGAGAGTGTGTGTGCGCTGGTCCTCTCACACTTCGGCTTTTTGTTTTGTTTTCCTTTTTGATTTTGTGGTTGAGTGCACCCATTCCGTGGCTGCGTTTGTGTGTGTGTGTGTGATGATATGAGTAATTTGCTTCTCTGCTATCCTTCTCTGTCGTTGCTTTATTTACACTCTCTTGTGCCGCGGAGCTGCTCTGCAAGTATAGGCGCTGCCAAACACACAAGCACATGCAAATGCACACACACGCCATGTTGCACACAAGTGGGCAGCCCCTGCACTGCTAGAGGAGCTCTCGGCGCGCTTTGGAATGTCGCAGCTGGCACCATTGGATTCGGTGCGTTGGCGCCTGTGGCTGCCTTTGTCGACGCTCCGATCTGCTCTGTTGGAAGTGCCGGCGTGGTCGTGGGGCGGCGGGAGAGCAGCTGCGGACACGGTGACCTCTACGCAGTGAGTTCACAGTAACTTCCTTGGCCAGTGGCAGTGCGGATGGAACTGTCATAATGATCGCACCGCCGGCACGCTTGTTGTCGAGTTCCCCGAAAGGAGAGCAGTGAAAAAGGCCCGTCCGCATGACTCTTTGCATCTCCGCCTCAGGGCTGCGCATCACAATTGGAGTTGCCGTGCGGTTATACAACAGGGTATGATCTGCTGGGGGAGAGCGCTGTGCGATGCTCCTGCACGTGGGGCGGGCGCTGTGCAAATGGTGGCTGTTGAGTGGCCGGTCACACAAATATTGCGACACCACAAGCAGAGCAGACCAAACACTCCGCGTGGAGGGAGCGTTGCGGCTGGTGAGGACTCTGTGCGACGGTGATGGACGTTTTCTCGACGACGGATTGATGGTTTTTCCATTTGATGGAGTCGGTGCGCACGCGGTGTGTGTGGCTGCCTCTGTGGTCTCCTGTTACTCCGCTGTTTGTTCCGCATCCTGACGCATCACTGGCAATAAACTGTTGTCTTTTTCTCCCTTTTTTTTCTTTGCCTCTCTCCTCCCGCAGCCAGGCTGCACTGCTACTGCTGCTGCTACTCACACGAAAACAAAGAAATGCATTTTCCTCAGGCCATGCGCCAGCCACGCCACGCCACACCACTTTTCCCACTGGTGGTTTTGCTGATGTACTGCGCCAGTGGATGTATTGCCGCCGCTCCCGCCACACAGTACCGCTGTGGGTTTGACGTGAAGAGGAGGAGGAACGGCCCGCTGCCGACTGCGGTGGTGCGTGAGGTGCCGCGGAAGGGACAGGGCGCGATGCAGGCGTACACCGTCGCCACACAGGATGACGACAGTGACTGGAGGCCGATCCGCATCGCGGTGTCCACGGAGGATCTGGAGAGGCACGAACAGGAGGAAGTACTGCGAAGAGGGAGAGGATGAGTGCCACAACGCCTTGGGGCAAAAGGTATTATGCAAAGCAGAGCATGTCTTGACGGAAGAAAATAATCAATTGTACAATCAAAAGATTCTCCCCGGTGCCGTCAAACTGCACGCTGAGCGGCTACTTGTGAAACCCACTGGTGGGACGATAACTGTACCGAGGGCCATGAATGGACCGTGCAGCCACTTTACGGTTCCTACCAGACACAAGAGTGACGGTGTGCCGAATGCAGATTTTATCATCTACGCCGCTGCTATGCCATCAGGCACTAAAAGCAGGGCTGTGTGGGCGGCCACGTGTGTCACATGGAGTGATCTTCGTCCTTCCATTGGCGCCATGAACTTTGATCCGAAGTACATGACTGACACGGCGTGGAGCGTTCGCGTTGCCGCACACGAAATTGCGCATGCACTTGGGTTCAGCCAGGAGAGCATGAGATAAAAGAGCCTGGTGAAGAAGCGAGAGAGAAGTATGCGTGGGACGCACCGCAGGATGGTGGCAGGGAAGCACATTCAGAAGGCGGAAGCGCACTTTGGCTGTGACTCTCTCGAGGGCATGGAGCTGGAGGACGAAGATGGTGCATCGTCAAGAAAGATCCCTCACTGGAAGGAACGCCACGCGCGGGACGAGCTGATGGCGCCCACAGTTGGTGCCGGCTACTACACGG